TTTCATTTACGTTTAGAAGGATAAATGAGACAGCAAGTTAGCCTCTGAAGTTTTTGTTGCCATAAATTGGCTTTCATTTGCTCAACCTAAAGGCAAATGATTCTCTCATTTTACATCATACCTCCACAGCCTTCAGCAGTCTAATACTTAGGTCAAAGCTGGTCAGATCAGTAGATCTGAGGTTTATTGTGAAAAGCTTTTATTCCAGCCTACACCAGGTTATTACTACTAAAGCAAGTAACAATCAGATAGCCTGCACAAGCTGCAGGCTTTACCAGGAGGAGGAACTCAAATCTAAGTGGGATTTTTACTCAATTTCCATCATATATGCTCGCAAACCCAGGTTCTAAATCCAAAACACATATTCCTATGCTCAATATTGCTACTTCGCTGTGTAAATGAATGTTTTAAAATGAAATATCTTTAGTTGTGAATTATCTCACTGCTTCTGTGTGCAAAGTGAGTAGAGCTATGTGAATAATTGCATTTATTTTCACTGTGACTGCTGAATTAAAAATATTTTGGAAACTTGCATTAAACAGATGCAACTTTCCTTTCTCCCCCTGCTCTTAATTTTTTTTCCATGAAATGAAAAGAGGAGAGCCTCATGTGCACTGAAAAACTCCATCTGACCCCCAAAATGAAACACTTTGTTTTTGGGCACACGTAGTAAAAGCAAAGAAAATTAAAAGGCTAAATTTCATAAAGGAAGAAACGGTGTTCTCCCTATTCAGATTCAGTAGCCAGTATGCAAGAGACAAATACTTTGGTTTCCTGAGATCTTTGAAGCTGCCATCTCCATTCCCTGGAGATCCCACCTACTATCCCTCAGCTTAAGGGGGGCCACCAGGCTGTGGCTTTCCACACAGCCAGTCTGCTGTGCAGCTTTTCTTTGTGCTGCCTGTTTTGTGGTGCCCCAGACATGGAAGCAACTCACAGGGAAACGAGGTGAGGTGTCACTGCCTGAACCAGCTGCCCTGAAAGCAGCAGGCTATCCTGCTGCAGACAAGATGCTCTCCCAAGGTACAGCTCTGCAGGTGGAGGCTCTTCCAAGCACCCTTCTTTTGGTTCTGTTTTGGTTTGTCTGTGTAGTAAGCTGCTTCCTGAACCCAGAGGTTCCTTTATTCTCCGTGAGGGACCCCTTCCCATCAGGCTACACAGTCATGCTGCTTTTTATCCAAAGGGTTTCTTCAGCATTTGGTTTCTACCAAAAGGCTGTTAAAATAGTTTTGCTTATTGCAGGACCACAAACATCTGTTAATTATGGGTCTGGGGTTTATTTATTTATTTATTTATTTACTTACTTATTTATTTTAATAGCTAGGTCTTATTGACCTTCACTTAAGCACTTTTGAATATTTTACCCTATATAAAGATTGCTGTGTTGAAAAGTGCTAACAATTGCCATCATGGGAGTCTTGGATTCAAAGACAGTTTGCAGACCTCATTAAGCCAAGGAGCTTGCCAAGTCCAGTCTTTTCAGTTCAATGGAAGCAACACTTAAGTCCCTTCATGTGGCAAAGCAGCTGCTAGCAATGGAGCTGCCTGGCATGGGCAGAGAGAGCTAAGCTCACCCAGGGAGACTCGTCCGTCCTGGTAGTAGAAGACAGGGAGTCACACTGGAAACAAAGGGAGCTGTGAGTAGAACCCTAAAAAGCAGCAGGATGGCAGGGCTTTTTCGACATTTCAACGAAGCAGAGTCAAGATCTCTTGGCTAGACAAAAGCCTCCTGGTTGTTTCACGTCACGGGGAACATGACTTCTGTATAGTCTCTGTGTAGTTACAGTGATGAATCTTGATCAATGTAGAGCAAGACTGGCAAGGTTTTCCAAGCCCACCTAGTGATGGGCTAGCACGCTAGGAGGTCTGCATAATGCCATTGAGAATTCTTGTCTTGTATGCTGGAGAAAAGCAGGTATTTGAGAAGTTTCAAAAAAGATAAGCAAAATCAACTCTTCAAAGAGAGGTAAGATGCTTTAGGCATTCAACAGATTGAAAAGCCAGACTTCATATTTGCATACTAAACATGGAGGTAGGAGAATGCCTCGGGTTAGACAACAGTGTTTCTATGCTTTTCAGCTCTATGTGTGAAGGATCAACTACAGGCACTCAACTACATCAGTCTGAGTCAGATCAATCTTACATTGCTACAGGAATGTGCACAGGGCAAGAGCAATTTAGAAGCTTTAAGTCTAAAGGAAGTGAGAAGCATAGTGGCATTGGTATTCTATCAGGGAACTCAAAAATAAGAAGGAAATTAACCAATCCACAAAAGTATTGAGGCTTCTGAATCCAGCAGTATTTAGGCACTTTTAATCTGCGAGAGAAAGGAAAAGTTGTGAAAACACATGACAGGCATCCTGATTCTGAGGCCAGTGCTGTCCACAAAGTCCATCCTTCATGCATTGTGTCATTCTCAGCTCAGGATGTTTTCAAATGAGTATTTTCAAAGGACAAGTCCTCTTTCCTCTCTATTTGCAGTGAAGTTACAAAGATGAACCCTCATACTAGCTCAGCACAACCCCACAAAATTAGTTTTCCCAAACCACTCTTATTATATGAAGGATTCTCCCTGTATTTGTATTCAACCATACATTCTTACAAGTACTAGTCCGGAATAAAACCCAGAAGCTGCCCAAACACAATTCCCAAGTACAATGTAAGTGAATGGCATGATCGTTAACAAGTTTTATAGAAATAAGAAAATAACATAAGATTTGCTCTTCAATAAAAATGAATGATAAAATTCCTTAGTGAACATTTTTGAGACATTGTTTTTGCATTTAATTTACAGCTTCCTAGTGTTATCTCTTCAGGTGGGATTTTACAAATTAACCATGGGTAGAACACACCCCACTTCATAATTCCCTTATCTTACTTAAATAGGAGGCAGATAGCAACTTCTATACATGCTCACACCTTGCTAACAGAAAACAGTGATATATTGAAAATTTCCTTATCACCTCCAGTTCCCACACAGGTGTTCTTGGTGATAAACTACTGAATGATATAAACAGTGATTTCAGGTAAAAAGTAACAATTAGTCAAAAGGAAAAAGAAAAAAAAAGAAAAACAAACCACAAATTAAACCACCTTTCCCAAGTAGGATTTTGAACTGAAAATACTCAAATACAGAGTATAAGTTTTTCAGTATGAATTTTTTCAGTGAGGCACATAATCCCTTGGACTTCCCTTTAGTAATGCTTGCTGTCACTTCTCACAACCCTTTTCTTCCCTTTTGAGATGATCTTGATGGGCAATTCACAGATATGAAAAGGAAATTTATGATATTCCCTTTGATGTCAGCCAATGCTGATTTGTCTCCAGTGGGTGCTATCACAGATGGGGTTTACAACTGTTCCTGAACAACAGTGGTAGGAGAGTTAATCTGGAAGAGAAATTACCGAGTAAGATCTTTCCATTTTAGTTCTCCTGGGACTGTTCTTTCAGATGTAATAGAGAGTATTTGAATGTATTTAAACCAGCTAAACTGTGTTGCTATAGTGCAATGAGTGTATTGAATTCCTCAGGTCCACAGAAAATTGTAAAAGTTTGGGTTCTACTTTGCCTTTGATTATTTTCAATTTTATTCAAAAGAATGTCTTTATTTTATAGACCTTACTAATTCCTTCCAAACAGATTACTAGAGGCCCCCACCCAGAAAAATAAAAAAAAAATCATGCCTATATGCTGTAGAAGTGCATGGCCAAGTCTTCATTCCTGTGAGGACCACAGCTTTCTGGACAGTGTCACTTGGGACAAAACTGAAAACCCACACATGTGATGATATTTTCAAAAATCCACCCTCTCACAATTTTCCACCATCTGCACTAATTATCCAATAATGATATCAACTAAGATTGGTAATTTAATCAACCTCTTCATAAAAGGTAGAGGAATAGAATATCAGTTTAACAGAAGCAGGAATTCAAACATACATTAAATTTCACAGTAAATATTCCAATGTTGTGTCTCAGGCTTTTTCCAGAGTAACACTGACTGTTCTCTCTGTCAGAACAGGACTCTGGCTTTGTATTTATTATTCATGTGGTACCCACAGGATTCAGTGACTAAACTCAGCCAGGCAGACATCACCATGCCTGGACAAGAGTTCCAGACTCCTCAGTCTAAAGGACAGCACTGCCCTTCTTTTATCAATTCTCTTTAAAGTTTCTGCCAACTTACAAGGAATAAAAGTACTTTCAAAAAATGGTAATTTAATTTTAGGGGAAAAAGTAATGGGTTTTTTTTTCTCAGTGGCTTTTAGATTATTTCTGTAGCACCAGCAGTATCCTGTTGAACAGGGAAATCCATTTTAGGTTTTATATCAGACCTATTAAATTTCTCTATTATTTCTGCAGTGGTTTTATGCCCCAGTTATATTCTCCACATATTGGTGTCTACTGAACTTCTGGAACTTGGAGGTAGATACCTAGTTAATAAGTATGGGTTGTTCTGGGTTTTGTCTTTTGTTGTTTGTTTTTTTTTCCCATTCCTTTTACCAAAGCCAACCAACAGTTTAAAAAAATGATCTTCAATGTTTTCTATAGGTCAGGCATTGTCTGGGTAGGCTTCTTCTGGCACCTACAGGAGGCACCAAGTTAATGACAGAGATTTCTAGTCCAGAATGCTTGAATCACCTATGGAAGGGTTCAGTTATTATCTCTTATTTCTCAATAAGAGATGCAGGGTGCCACTACATAGGCACAGCATGCCATTGCACAGCTGAACAGCATCCTTAGTATATCTACTTAGTAAATATTGCTTTCTTAAATCCTCAGGACAGATGGGAGGAGGAATTTAGATCAAAAGTACCACTGGCAGAACATCTATTCCAAGGGCAGTTGTACAGAGTATCAAATATATTTGATTATTCCTAAGCATTCTTGATAAGCATCAGATACGCTTAACACTTCTCAAAAAATCTTTTCACAGAACAAGGCCTCATAGGCATAATTTATCATGAGTTAACCAAAGCAGAATAAAGCTCTTGAAGCATCTTTGCATTCTTGATTGTTTTTATTTGGAGTGGTCACAAGCAATCACATAAGTACTTTTTTTTCTTGTTGCAGTTGTTGTAACATGAGTGTTGGCTGTTGTCCCTGTGCACAAAGGGATTGTGCCTCACACTCCAGCACCACCAGAATCATCTCATGTCACTGACTCCTCCTTACTTTGCTCAGTCAGGGTCCAGTTGGATGCCACCATCTGTCAGAGACCACAAGGAGGCATGGGGTCTGACAGTGGATTCTCATGAGAAAGACAGTAATGTGAACAGGAAATATCCCATCAGGAATCCTTTCTTGGGACAGGCTCCTGTGGAAAAGAACAAACCCTTATTGTCACTATTGCCGCTTTAGCTTTATATTCTTGTGCTCATCCTTTGATTCATTCTCTCTCCCCCCACTCTATTCCCATCCGATGGGTGGGAAACAGGATATTTTGTGAAATTCTTTCCTTCCTGTGTGGGTCTACATGACATCTTTAATTAGCAACTGTCTGCAATGGAAGTGAACAATTAGAAAGCACAACTATCCTGCTGATGAGATCATAATACCGTTGCTTTTTGAACAGGTATTTAAGGCATCACTTTCTGTCATTTACAAAGATCGTTGATGTTATTATTTAAAAATATCACACACCAAAAAAAGTCTTAAAACACTTCCCTACAGAACGAGTGATCAGGAAGAGTTTTACAAACATTTTCTGTCTTTGTGTCCCCTGAAGAGTTTTTTATTTTTGTTATGCAAAAGCGTGATGGGAAGGAGACCTCTGCCTTCTTCCATGGACAGAACTCCTGCAAGCTGGCACCTGCCATTTTACCTGGAATAAGGAGGAATACTTGTTTATTTAACAACCCTAGTGCTGGGGCTGATCAGAGCGATGTGTCCTTCTACAAAAAAACCCAGTGGTTGAAAATATTTTTCTCAGGGTGGGATTTGACAGTATGGAGGCACAGAGAGCAGCACTGCCTTGGAAGAAGACCAAAATATAGACAAATCTGGCACACTCAGAGGACCTGGAACTGGTCCTTCCTAGCCTTGTCCTGCAGACTGGTAGGTGTCAATGCTATTAAGCCTCATCTGGCAAGACTGCCCTTAAATGCCAGGAGTCAGAGTGATAGCCCTCAACTGGATGTCCTATAGGGCTGGCCTATCCCTCTCTCCCACATCCACCATGATGAAGTTTTCTTTTCCCACTGCTGCAACTGTACAGCCCCAGGGGACATTAAGACAATCTTGCTTTCTGATTTTCCTTCCTTTCTTTCCTTTGCTTCTTTTTATTAGTTTGAATCTCTGATGTTCTACCTGGCACCTGAGAAAACTCATTTACACCACTACAGAGCAGCATACACTCTTTTTGTGAAAACAAAGAGTAACCACACAGGAAGCTAGATCAGGGAAATAACAGGATCTCTGAGCCAGTATGACATTCCAAAATCTGGGGCGGTGAACTAAGAAAACTGCAGAGCAAAGCACAGGGTTGTGCTTTTGCTAGAATATCTGTCATTTCCTCAAGGTGTCTGAAGGTTGGTGTGGAAACCCATGTAGGATCTCACCAGGCTGTGTGTCACATCCGAGAAGACACAGACAGGAATAAGAAGTTTTTTTCCAGGCTGAACTTGTGTGCCAAATCTCCCAATTGCTATCTCACGTTGTCACAGCAACAGGTTTGTCTACAGCTGCTTCACAACACAAAGCAACTGCAAGCACTGCCTCCTCATTTCCATACAGATCTAATCATGAAACAAGAATGTGCTCGGTCATAATCGTGCTGGGACTGCGTGTCCTCAGCGAGGTTTGCACACCCCGATAAATTGACTTGCAGTTGAAAATAGAAACCACTGCTGTAATAACAGAACATATAACTGAGCGAAGACTGCCAGGGTGTGAATATTGCTAATGGCATTGAGGGTCTTTATCGCATCTTGTAAAGTGTTATCAATCAAACTACAGGTGTTAAGCAGGTAAAAGCTGTAGTTTGAGGCAATAGATAAGAACTTTTCCCTTGGATCTGAAGCACTGAGCAATCTCTTCCCCAATCACAACCAGATGTTTATTATATTTACCAAAGAATTTGCCTTATTTTTTTTTTTCTTAAATAGCAATATGCTAATAATATTAAAGCTATGACTTGTGAACTTGTGAAGTGTATGTGGGAAGAGAGGCAAGCACATTTGATTTGCGTAGCTTGCCATATACCATAGGCACCCAATATAAATGGGTGGCTACATTAAACTGGGGCTTGTTTGATGTACTGGGATCTAATGCACATCACTTGGTTTGCTCCCAGCAAGTGTTATGCTTATTTAATACACAGGAGGTAAAGAAATCAATTTCAAGGCTATAACTGAAAGCCACTATAAAATTCCACTGTTACTGCCATGCTGTAAAGTACATATGTTATTGATTCCTCTGGCCTCCTTTACATGGGAGGTGACTTGGTGGCTTGGGGCCTCAGCCTTTTATCTGAATTCAGGCCCTGCCCGAGGAATCTGTTGGCCTTATTCTGAGTCTCCATTTGGGTACAGAAATAGCTGTACCATTTATAGCAAGGAAAGATACCTATGCCTGGTTCTGGTTTGAACCACAAGCTCGTAGTTTTGGAAGCTGAAAATCTGTAATTCAGGACAATTTTTTTTTTTCTGAAACAAACAATTTATTTATTTTTTTTTTCAACTTTATACTTCCTTCCTTCTTTAAAAAAGAAAAGGAATGACCAGAATTAAAGATATAGGTATGAGTTTACGGAAAAGTAAAAGCCCCTTTCACTGTGCAGTTGATCAGATACTTCAACTAATTTCTGAGGCAGGCAAACCCTTTTATAGTCTTTTTACAGTCTGGGAAGAGAGGCAGGGATGTACCTAGGGACCTACTTGGGGCAGAGGCCAGAAACTTGGCCCCACATTTCCAGTTTTGAGTTCCAGAGACCCAACCTGAACTCTAAACCATGGGAACTGCAAACCAAAACCAATCATGAAAAGTGAAAAGGAAAAAAAATCCCTACTAGGAAAAAGATCTGTGCATACAACCTGATATCTGAGCCATCTACCTCCTAACACAAACCACTGCAGATGAAACAGCCAATCTCCTCATACACAGCTACTTTTTTAAACTAGCAGATTTTGTCTGGATTTCAGCCAGAACTTTAGTGTATTATAGGTTCAGCTAAAACATTTTTAATAATCTCATATTGTAGTGGTCATCTCCTATGGCCACTCAATTTTCACAGAGTGTTACAGTATTTTTTTATCTAATGGTCTAAGTCTATTAAAAAAGGCAGTGCCCCTGGAAAGGTGAGAATTTTTTTGTATCTAAACTGACAGTAGGTCAAAACTCAAACCTTGACTCTGAGCCCTTTGTACGCTGGAGACAGTAGCTCTGGGCTTGTGAACCCAAGCTGTGTCTGTGCCATGGTGTGGTCCAAGTGTGGAGGAAATATCTTGCCAGATGCCCAACTAGAGCACTAAGAAATACATGCCAGTTGATTTATCCCATTTATTACCTGAATCTCATAGTAGTTGATCAGCCTCTGAAATGAAGAACTCAATCTTAGTTACCAAGATTGACTGATTGGAGTAATTGAAGCAATCTTATTTAATGTTTGCCTCAAATGATCTGGCAGTCTGATTCAGATAAGATTTCAAACAGTCTCTGTGCTTTTGATCTCAAATTAGCTTCAGGATTAACTCAAGATTGGTTCAGACACAGTAAAAAATTCTCTCAAGTGTATCTTGCACCGTAGCCGTGCTCAAGCCCTCTTCCTGATTCCACTGGATTAATTAAAATCTCACTTCAACCCAGTTGTGCTAAGGACAGTTTGAACTGTATGACAGCTCTGGGAAGCTGAGGGGAGACACAAAACAGCACTTACAGAAGCTCCTGTGGATGAAGAATTGTTGCAGGAGGGAGAATCCTTGCTGCCTCCTTCTTTTAATGCTGTGATTTCTTGTCTCTCTGGTACACAAAGAAAAGTATCTGTGAGCGATAAGATCACGAGACAACATGTCCTCCCAGCACAAATAACATTAAATTAGTTTATTCAAGACAGCAGTCAAAACCCATTTCTACCAGTGAAAGCTCCAAGCGAGCCTGAGCCTTTAAGGAGCTTTCCTTCTGCCTTCTGCTCCCTTCACAGGACTGCTTCAGACAGAAATGCTTCTAACATTTTGAAGGCATACTACACAAGAGGTATGATTTTGTAAGTATTTGCTTTTAACAGCTCTGTTCCTTTGTGCATTCCTTTCCCAGGTACAGGACAGGTGCTTCAGGGCAACTCTAAAGACAATTTCCAACAGTTTGGGAGCCTAACTATGGTCTGCTAAACAACATAGCTAAGCAGACAGACAGATACCTGTTAGAGTCAAGTTACTTCTGTAACTAACCTCATGTAATAAACTCTCCCAGGCAGCCTATTTACAATTTGAGGGGAAAATATACCTTTGAAAATTGTTTTCTAAAGGCATTCTGGCTCACATTTCTCTGTTCATGATTAGGCTTTGTGGTATTAATTCCCTTATTTTTTTTTTTTAAGATAGGGAGATATCTAGGCTCGGGTTTCTAGAAGTTCCTAGGTGTGAATAGCTGCAGATGTGTGCACTGGTACCTCAGGCTTGCTGAAATACCTGCCTATGACTTGCAGCTCTCTATTTATCATTTACTCTTTGCTACTGTTGAGAGAGGCAATAAACACTTTGAAAAAGCTGCTCCCAAGTAGCAAGATTACTTCAGAAGGTGAGTTTGAGGTTCTTAATTCCCTTAGAAATGCTCTGCATTTTTCACCCCAGGTCTACAGAAGTGTTTGTGTATCACCTAAAACCGCAAAGCCTGATTCTGATTAGGCTGTGGGTACCACTGCTAGGTTATTGTTTTAAGATAGCATCATGGAAAAACTTCAGTTATAACTTAATTAATTCAAACACTATCGTTACTTTTGAATGGAAGCATTTTATCCAAGCAAAGGATCACCCCCGAACGACTGTATTTGTACTGCAGAACCACCACGGCTCTAGGGTTCAGCTAAGGTCTGCATTCAAAGTTATTGCATTAACACTTATGTTATACTGCTGCCTACAGGTCCATATTTAAATTTAGGATGTTATGCTAACTTATGTTTAAACAAGGCTCCTGTTCCAAAGCTTAGGAAACAAGCAAGATAAGAAAGGTATGGGAGAAGCTGAACCCATTTTAACTTTCCATGGTTATGTTTGTGTATGTAATTGAATGCATTTCTTCCACTGGCCTGGAGCCACCCGAGAGGGGTTGGTTTTGTAGCAGAAAAAATCCTACATTTGGGAATGCAGTTCAAGAGGAAGACAGGGATTATGGTAGTGTCTGTATGAGAGGTGCTGCGGAGGAAAGCACAGGGATGCTTAGAATGGCAGCCCTGCACACGACAGACAGGTAGGTGTCTGATGATCTCTCCTGTGGTGTTTGTTGCACACTGTCATTTTGCCTTGTGGAAACTGCATGTTTTTAAAGCAAATGTATATGTATTTTGAGGTTGGACACAGAATATAAGGACTGTCTTTTCCTAATTTGAAATTTAAAGATCCCTTATGAGAAGCCTATAAAAAGAATGATACGTGCCACGTGTTTCACCAAAATGGAAACATCTTTCTTGCAGAGGCTGGAGTGGGGAAGGGTAGTTTTCCTTTCCAGTTCATGTGCATAGTTCTTTGATTAACCAGCTTAAATTGCTACACCCATATTTTGAATTTCAAAGTATTTTCTGAATACAGGAAGAAGAAATTTCAACTTAGTGCCTGTAGGGGAGCCAGACACCTCTGCAAGCACTTTCTCTTCTCCCCACAGAACTGATAGATCTTAGCAACTCAAGATGTTGGTGGTTTCAACTAAAGCTAACAGCAGCTGAAATAATTTTCTGTTCTGTAAACTACGCTATTTTTGCAAAAGGAGACTCCTTTATTTGAACAATTAACAAACTGACATTTCCTCAGATCATATAAATTAATAGAAATGTTAGCATTTAGCACTGAAAATCCTCTGCACCCTGGAGGCTGGATAAGGTATTAGTCAGCTCTAATTAAAGTTGTCTGATGCCAGGCAGTCCCCAGTGACTGCCACAATGCTGTTTCCTATGTAATTGTTGGTCAATTTGTTGCAATATATCATCAGGATTACTGAATTATTAGTTATAATAACAACTTCAGAGTCAATAGCAGTGTCACAGCAAGGGTAAGTAAACACTAGAAAATGATGAGGGATAGAAATACCTTTCTAGCAGCTACATCATATTAGTAGTGCAGGGACCACCCACTGTAACAGCTAGGCACAATGATAAATTCCTACTTGGAGAAGGTGGAGTTGGATGTTTTTGCCTTAATGTTCTGCATTCATCTCAGTGACATCCCCTATAAGCTCCTCTTTGATTCCTGCCCACCAGCTGTGGAGCATGCACGTGAGGTAGCTTAAACTGACTAAAACCCACACAATCTGACAGACAAAATTTTACAGCTACCAATGTCAAACCATTTGCACAGACCATCCCCAGGGATGCTTCTCCCAAAGATCTACAGGTCATTTTCCTATGGCTCTTGGGTCATCCCGAGTCCCATTTTCACAAATGGTCTGGGGGATCAGGAGCCCAAACCCTATCAGTCAGGTGCCAGTTCTTCATTCTCCAAAGGCCACCTCTCCAAACACTATTTACTTTTGATTCCTGATACAGTTGGTGGGTTATGACCACTTGGAAAATCTGCCCCTTGTGTATTTCTGAGAAAGGCAACACAAGGTCCTCTATGGAAGAGGTGTGATCGAAGTGTCTGTTGCTTTTCAAAGAAGAACATAGTATTTGCTGTTACTATTTTGACTAAGGTGAGAGATACTTTTCAGAACTATTCACAATTTCAAAGGATGCATTAATTTTAGAAGAAAAAAAAAAAAAAGAAGTATTTTTCTGTGAGTGAAGTCCAGGACTTCCAGGAACTCCAAAGAAAAAGTACTTCTGATAAGAAATTTCAAGATTCATTTTAAGTTCAAGGTGTGTTGGGAAATGGACTGAGAATTCAGTGTGTGGAAACATGACCCGTAAAGTTCAGCGTATACTGCAAGAACCAAAACCTAATTAGAGGAGTTGGTCAGGCTTTTAACTTATCTACCTAATCTCCAACCACAGCCTCAAAGGTTGAAAATGTGAATCCATCTTCTAAACCGAGAAACAGGTCATTAAAATTCAGGCTGTACAACTAACATTGCACTCATTTAACAAAACAAGAGTTCAAAACATAAGAAGTTAAACTCCACATCAGAGACATTTCTGGAAACCGCAGACTTAACGAACTATCTTCCCTCCATTGGTTTCAAATCAAACAGGCACAGAGGCTTTCTTTGGCACAGCCTAACCCTGTTCAACCAGGTGTGGGTCTCCATTAAGTTACTCTTGTGCAGGAATTTGAAGACAAACATTTGTAAACTTTTTTTTTTGGTTGGTTTGTTTGCGTTTAAAAAATGCACCCACAGTGGTTGCCCTGCTGAAAGCAGCCCGGACTGATGGAACAGCAACCCAGAGCCAACCAGCCGAGTCACAGCCCTGGCTGCGTGTGAGCTTGTGGTCTGCTCTCACAGCCTGACCCACTGGAAAAAAAGAAGTCTGTGGAAGCTCAAGCTACAGTGAGATGACAGGTGACTTCTGAGGAAAAAGAAAACCCTGTAGCTGTAGCCTATACTGTTTCTGGAAACCTGGGACAAGTAATTTGTGGGAGAGACGGTGTCAGGCAGAGCTGGCTGAGTGATAGTGGAATAAGTCCATTCCAAAACTGTGAAGGTTTTCCAATTTTTTTGTATGGTCTTGAAATGAAAAACAAAGCAAAACAAAAAACTTTTAAAATGGAAGGGTGTGGAATTGTGTTGAAACATCTATTTCTGAGTTAGAGAGATCGAGTTGTCAGGTCAGACATAACCAGAGACCTCAACCTGCGATGCAGAAAACTCCCCATTCATCAACACCAGCACCACTGCAAAATGGTTTGGAGTCCAAGAAGCAGCATATTTTAGTTAAATATATTTCATCAAACATGTTCTGATGAATTCCAATCTTGAGATGTCATTGTGTCACCAGTTTGTGGAAAGATCAGTATTTAAAAAAAACTCATAAAAATAAAGAACTGGAAAAGAAGCTGAAGTACAGTCACTCAAAAGACATTTGTCAGCAAAATCAAATATATGTTCAGGCATATTCTGTTTCATCACATACTGTTCCTTTTAGGGGTGAGGCACTTAAGTAATTTCTCTATTTTGGAACGAGACTGCAAGACAAAACGTTGATCTTCACTTTGGCAAAAAAAGTTACATTAAGTCTATCAAGATGAAAGTGGAGCAAACCAATAATTTACAGCTTAAAATAGCGACTCTGTTCTTCAGCTATGTGTAAACTTTTCATCTCACAGGATGCAATCAAATATATATCAAATATATATATATATATATAGTACCTATCTATATATACATTCACACATAAATATAATATTTTCATGTACACACACACACACAGATGCAAACCACATCTGGAGTTCCATTAAAATATTTCTCCTACCTCCTCAATAACCACAGTTACAGTAATCCCTAGAAGGAACAGAGTAGGGCTAAGGTCAGCCGTCTCTGATCACCAGTGTTTGTACAAAGTGATTTTATGTTTCATTTGCATTAGAGATTGATATCAAGTTAGAATTTTGGCTCAAAAGAGTTTTTATGGAAGAAAAAAATGTTTGGAAAGTTGAAATATTTTCCCAAAGGAAGGTTCAGGGAATAAATGAGAACCTATTTATCTTTTTCAAGGCTTTTGCAAGCTGTAAAACAGGGAGAAAATTCCCAACCTTGCTTCTCACAACACTGCATTATCACAAGAGAATCTGTACTGTATTTTTTATGCTGAAATAGAAATAATTTAGAAAAAGAAAAGAGGGAAAACATAATGTGTAAAATTCAGTCTGTTCTTCAGTGAAAATACTACATTTTTTTCATTTTAAGAGTGTTACCACCTTTTCACCAAGATGATTTCAAGCATGATGTACGTTTTCCATCAAGCTTGAAAGAGTATTTAAGAAACACCTTCATTTCCATGAGAGTTCATAGTTTGAGAGTTCATAGTTCAGGTTTTAATTTATTTTTTTCCCCAAAATGTTTTTATTGAAACAAATTTCAGCCTATTCTAGCTTGCATTTTGGATTCTCTCAAAATTCAAACACAAAACTTCAAAGCAAGCCATCTCCACAACCATTACTTTTGTAGGATTTTGATCAAAGCCATGAAAATTCCTGGTTCCACCCTGCAATAATGAACCAGCCCATGTTTCATTTGAAATCCAGCTCTGAGGAGGTGACTTACCTATCTGGTTTGCAAGAATCCTGCTGTCTTCACCTGACCCGAGAGCATCTCCGCATAGCAAAGCCCTCCTCCAACTGGAATGCATCCATGCAATACAGTCCCTATTCCCTCGATGTGGGGGGCACCAAAGTTTGGCTGTCAAACTCCTGTTTACCAGCCTTCTCCAAGTTCAGAAAGCTCCCTCTTTCTGCAACCTGAAGATCAAGGTTTTTTTTGTTTTTTTGTTGTTTTTTCTTAGCAATTCACTAGATAGCTGTGTTTGCCTAAAGAGACCCTCCCACTGCTCTTTTATCCTCTGAAGGCAGGCCAATTTTCAACTACAGCCTGATGGTTGCCTGGGTTAACCTCTGCCTTGTTTCATGAGGCTTAGAAACCCCAATACACCTTTCAAATGGCGTGTCTGATCACACTGCTCTGGCAGATAAGGAGAAAATTAGAATGAGTTTCTCCAGGTAAGCGCCAGCATGAAGGTACCATCATCTTCCAGGGGGGAATGCCTGGCAGGCAGGCATGCAGGCAGGCAGGTTTGGAGATCAGTTCTGATGGGGACACAGAAAAGGCAGCTGTGTAACAGCACAGTAACAACATTATTTCAGTGCTGCTGCCAGGCAAGGCTGTGGTGCTTCCTTCTGTGGTGCAATTTGGGACAAATATCTTGAGAGCACTTTTAACCCTAAAATATTGTACGTAAGACATTTAGGTGTTGAAGATAAAGTTATCCTTACCTTGTTCTTTATAGCTTATATTCAAGTATTTTAGATTTGAATCTTCATGCTCCAATCTAAGGCCTTTATCCTTTAAGTTTTCCTACTATTTGTAGGATTTTTCCATCAGGCTGGCAGACTCTTCCTCCTCTCTCACCATGACTGCATGCCACAGTCCTGTGCAATATCATAGGTAAAAAACATGGGTTACTACAACTTGGTTTCTAGTTTCTATTTAATTATGTTTCTTCAGGTTCAAATGCAATCTTCACTGCAAAGAAAAAATTTGGTCTTGCAGTTGGTCCAGACTGCTTTCACCAACTAAATTGTCCTTTGAGTGAGGGGTGACATCCAGCAGAGCCATCTGAATTTTCCAAACTGACTCTGAGGATATCTAATTACTCCTCTGGATACCTGGCTTTCCTGAGGCACAAGTTGTCTTTCCTAAATCAGAATGTGCTCAAAATAAATACAATTGAAAGAATAAAAAGGAAAATCACAAGCCTAAAAAGTACAAAACAGAAAAAACCCCAACAACTTTCACCTTGGCATTTTAAATGATTTTTTTTTAAACTACAAAACCAGAGAAGTTCAGAATTCACCACCAAATCCCCACTCTTTAGGTCTCCATTCTCTTGTGTGCCCTTCACAGCTTTCCTCAAAACCCTAGACAGACATTTTAGCATGTCCTGCTGAGGTCAGTGGGATTTAGGCAGATCCACGCCCCTGCACCATGCAGGAACTCAGCTCCTCTGCACTGACAGCAACTCAGCTGCTCAGATTTGTTCCACGGTGTGGCCTGCAAAAGAAATTGTTTCAAGGTGTACAAAGCATTTGCTGTTTGCTGCTGTTGGCAGGGTAAAACTGCCATGGAGCTGTTGCCAGGGGAAGGAAGAAATTAAATCCCCTCAGGAAAGAGAAGAACACACAGGTAGAGAAAGGGGAGTGGGGTGGGAGGCATGGGGTCAGCCCTGGGACCCAGCCCTCATTTGGAAATGAGTTTGCTGTTGGCACAAGGTTTGGCCAGGCTTGCTGATCCTCCTGTGTGCACCTGAGCATCCCTGTTTGCAGATGTCTGCCACAGGCTCAGGGTTGTCCTTTGCCCCTCTGAGCCTTTGGTGTGAAGCCTCCTTGTGCAAGTCTTTTAAAAGCAGTGACTCTTACTCTGGCAACTTGTGGTCTAATGGCACACCGAGGAGGGCACTCAAAAGCCTTCACTGTCTGGGAACACAAGTGACTGCATGGGAGCACAGCCCTTCTGCAAATACCTGGGTGGCTCGGGAAGTCTTCCCTGGGTCTGCCCCATATTCCCAACCCAAAACACACCAAAGTGCTTTCTCACCCACACTGATTTGCTGATACCCATTTGTGGTACAAGAAACTAGACTCCAGACCATGAGGCAACACTTTCAAAATGTATAAACCCTCTTCTTATCCCCATGCAGCCCAATCTGCTTTGAGTGTGATGAAATAGCTTTGAAAGGGAAGGAAGCCACACAGGGGCAGTAAGCTGAGAGATGGAGAGCAAAAGCCATGGGAAAGGTCTGGGGCCTGATAGTCCTTCCCTTGATCTCAAGTCTTAAATTTTCTGTTGCATCTATGGTTTCCCCAGAGTATTTTTCTCCAGCTAATGCAGCAGGTATACCCATGCTCATTACCCATGCTCACACTATAGTAGCAGGAATCAAATGAGAATCCAAATTTAAGAGCTTTAAATGTTAATTAAAAAAAAAAAAAAAAAAGAAAAAAAAAAGGCTAGATACACAATCTTATTTTTCTTCATTCATTTTGGGGTCATGCGTATATGAAACTTCCTCTTCTGTAACTTCTTTCACAGTCTCCCACAGAGTCCTCCTGCAGATAATCTCAGCAGTAACAAAACAATGCTGTTCTTGCTGAATGACAGCACCAATTCTTCCCACTCTGCTGAGTGGGTGCCTAAAACAGACACTTTGCCTCTCGATTCATTATTTTCTCATCACTCTCTGAAAAACCATTGCACCTTCTAAAGAATGAGACTGAGCACTAAAAAGGGATATTTCCTAGCAGAAGATTTTACAATTCACTTCATAGATTAAAAAATATAGTTTTACTTATCTATCTTATTGAACAGACTTTTTCAAACTGTTTCAGTGGATTCTTTGCCCCAGAGTAAGTGTTAGTTCCAAACCACAGTTTTATGCAACAAAGCTCACTAAAAGACAGAAAAAATTACATTAAGTTTACAGCTAGTTTACACACTAGACATATTTTCCAACAAAAGTCTCTTTGATCTGATAATGCAATGCTTCATTTTGAAGCAAGTTCTACTACTACTACTCAAAAAGTGTTGCCCAATGTCACACAGAGACAGTATTTTTCAAAGATTAATTCACAGCTTTCATTTTAAGGACATGTTTATAGAGGTTGAAAGGAAGTTCAGATAAAGTTGTTGCATTGTGGCAATATATGAAATGAATTGTTTTAATAGGAAAGAAGTTTAAGATAATCTCTCGGCCTTATTTCCTTTACTGGTTAAACCCCTTTGGTCACGTCTGTGAGAGCAATGCTGGCCACTTTTGTTTATTTTTCTTTAACTGAAATTTTTTAACCCTGAAAGTAAAGTTAAGAAGAAAAAATTAGTCCAAGGGGCTTCATGCTGTACCAGTGTGAGCCCTTTTCCCGTTGCAGATGCTTCACTAAGCAAGTGCAGTGATGATTTTTGCCTTCCTCTCTGAATTTTGTTTTGGTTGTACCCGCCCTCTGCAAAGGGAAGATTGGCATTGCCATCTGCCGACTCCAGAGATACATAAAAGGAGGATCTAGCTGTAGCCAACCAGAAAAATTGTAAAGCTGATGGAAACAGGACAGGCCTGACAAGAAGAGAGGAACTCCTCAGAGGAGCTGTCAGGTGGAAAACTGGAAGTGAGGAGATTGTACAGCACCAGCACAAGTGCAACACTACCTTCTTAAACCATAAGGTAAAGCTTAGGATTTTGGAGGTGAAGTCTGAAATCCAGAGGCTGCTTTCAACCAAGATTTCTGTGGCCTGTGTCTTATGTGGATAAGAAGAGAGTTCCTATTCCTGGAGGACTGCCAAAGTTGTCCCTTTCCATTGGTTTCTTTTTTGTTTTTTTCCAGCAGAGACAGCTAGACAATTTTATATATAGTTACTTTTGATTTCTTTCAAATACCAGAAGTTAAAAATGTGAGGTGGACTAGCCAGACAACACCAAGTTTCTACTGATCCTTTACCTAACAGACCAGAAAACAAGGACTGTTTCCAGTAATATCATCTATGTTTTGTGGATTTTACCTCCCTCAGGTCCAGGACAGAGGCCCACACAAGTGCTTCCCACACAAGTGCTCCTCATGGTTAGGGAGACTGAGAGTGCAGTTCTGCATCTGGGGTCTGAGGTTGCTAAACCAGCAGGCTTGGAGCTCACCCAGGTGCCTGTTTTGTGCAGACATGTCACCAATGTGCCCTTCATCCACCTCTACAGAAAGGCTCTGGCAACGTGCTCATCTGTCCTCCTGCTCTCAGATATGATGTGTCACCCCCAGGCTTGTGAGAGATCCATACAGAGGCTAAGGACTACCACAAGGTACCTGAACCATGTAGGGCTGAAACCTTCCCTCAGAGACTGTTCCTTATCTCAGACACTGCAGAACATTATTAGCTGAGCTACAGGTAGCCAAACCTGACTGGAAGGCTTTCTGCCAGTTTGCTTGTACCCGGCAGCCTCTGCCAGACCACTCACAGCGACACCCTCCAACCACAAAACATACAAGTCATAATGTACACTGCACTTGAGCATTAGCAGAGGTGTTACAAAGTGGATTTACTTATGTCCATCACACTCTCAAGGAGCCCTTGCAGACGTCACTTAAAGATTAACAGTAATACTAAGGAACAAACACTAAAACCCGCAGCTTCATTTGCCAATATTGAAGGGACAACTTGCCGATAGCGCAGCAGCTCACTGACCGTGAGCAGACAGGCTCAGTTCTGCATTATCTGTATCTGACTTTTATTGAGGTACCTAACTTTGATCTTTGATAAAGGAAAATCTTGGCAGGTAGCTTCTTTTTATGCTGTTTCTGGAAATCCTGCACATTTGAAACTTTGGTGAGAAGGGCCGACTAACATTTTCATGAATGCAGACATTCACAGTTACCACTGAAGTATGACCTGAGTTATTTTTCTCAAGACCACAATCACATCCAGCTCTGCAACTGAATTGATTTTAATGTAAGTGAAAATATTTCTGTGTTTAGATATGACAGAGAATCGTATGTACACCTTTGTCCAACAAAAGAACAGTTTATGTCTCCAAAGCTGAGAGTGAATGTTCTGTGGTGTCTGTCTTCAAAGCACCTCAGTGTGAAAGCAGCTACTTCAGTTGCTTTAGCCTACACAGAAAGGCAGCTTCCAGGGACGTACAGTATCACTGCTGCACTGGTTCATTCATTAGAACCTTTCCAGCTCACTTTTCAAAGTGCTGTAGAAACAAAGAGAATGTGCCAGGGGACACTTTTGCAAGGGTACAACTTATACAACTTCCTTGTTTTAATTATCTAAGTGGTAGGTGGGTGGAGCACACCTTCATAATTTGCTTTTCTCTTTTATTACTGAAATAAAATATCTGAAATATCTGAGGGTGCTGGGAGAGAGGTCGCTCTTATTGCATTCCTTTGCAGGCAGCATGGCTTTTTCAGGGACACCTGTCCACATGAAACTCTGTAAACGCTTTCTAACAGGTCCCCAGGTAGTAGAAAGAACACAGCTGCTAAAGAGCGCTAATGGCAGGACAGCTGCTTGGCTGACAGAATTGGAACCAGCATGGTGCATGTGCTGGGACTGTAAACAGGAATGAATTTTCCTAAAAGCTTTATAAGTAAAAATGTTTATTTTTGGAATATTAGCAAAATAAAAGGAGTTACAATGTTCCTTTAATTTTAAGTCAAAACATAATGACATGCAGCTTTTAAGAAGGTTTATTTTATAGCAAAATCTCAAATTGAAACAAGGTGGCTTCGAAACAACTTCAGAAATACCATAGATTTCTTCCTACATGTAAATATAAAACATGCTTGGGCATTTATTTTTTGTCCTTAATGTGTAGTAAAATTGATCATGAAATTCTGCTTTCCACAAACCACACATCAGGTATTGGGGAACGCCCCTCTGTCTCTAG